GCTCTGCCGAATGTACCTCATTCACAATTTAATGAACTAAATACTATTTTTTTTTAATTTCATATAGAATGGTAAGACTGATAGAGTCAAGCGTAGTACTCTATTGGAGATTTTCCGCAGGGAGGATTAAATATGGCGCATTTGCAGTCTTTCTGTTCATATCTTAAATTATCTTGGGTAAAAAGATTTTTATTAAATTCAGACGGTACTTGACAGAATTTAGTACTTGCAGAACTAAAACAGTTAGGTGGTGACAGAGTCTTTACATTACAAAAGGATAAGATTAAAGAAATTTCTAATTGCTTAAAAAAACATTTTTGAAAGACATATTTTGTTGTTTACACATGGCCAAACCTTTACAAAGTTATGTGTTCCAGAAATTTTATCATTGTAAATTTTAAACTTTATACCAGTGTCTGAATATTCTTTTTATATGAAATTGAAGTTATATGGTATACAATTTATAAAGGATATTGTAGATAGTCAAAGCAAATCATTGTTAACATTCCAACAAGTAAGACAAAAACTTAATATTGAAATATTCCAAAATATATCAAAAGATACAATAAAGATTATTGTGATTTGAACTTAGGAATTTCTGTTCCTTTTGAAGCATTTTCTAAAAAAGATCATGGAAAATAAGAAGTTGAAATTCGTGTACAGAGATCTTGTAGATAAAATATGCATACTCCCAAATGAGAATTTTTTTTTAAATGGGAGGAAGTAACAAATTCTGAATGGTCTAAGTATTTTTCTCTTCTGAAAAGATGTTGTAGAGATACATATTTAAAGAATTTCCAGTATAAAGTATAACATAGAATTATACCTACAAATATATTTTTATATAGTATTAAGTAGGGATGTCAAATCGGTGAACAATGACTAATCGAGTACTCGTTGGTTTTATCGAGCGATACTCGCTCGGGAATATATCTACAATACGGAAACACAAAAACACGTACTTTACATTTTGTGGTTTGTTGTTTAACAGACGAAAAACCATCTACATAAGTATCTGGGAGAAGGAATTACATACCATAATTAATAGCTCATTACCTACAATTTCTAATTAAGTAAAAAAAAAAACAATAATCTAATCAATATAACTTAATTTAAAAATTATAACAAGGAAAAGCCATATCAAACAATAGTATTTGGTAATCGTTCAGAAAACACATTTAATGTTTACAAAGGCGTAAGGATTAGAAGTTTAACTATTCACTGAGAGTCACCAGAGGATGCAACGAATTTATTTTATTTGGAAACATTTTCTTGTCAACTATTATTGGGGACAGTCTGTTTTGCAACTTTGTAAATTACAGTCTTGCAGACGAAAATATTTACTCTAGTTTAAAGTGTTAGGCTAGGTATAGCCCACGTATTTTCGGCATTTTAAATGGCAATTTTACACAAGCATTCGAAACAAAATGTATTTTATTTACTAATCTGATTAATCAGTTAAACAAAGAGTTTTTTATAGACAGTTTTGGCCGAAACGACCTATTTAATTTTCCGAAAGAGGTTCTCATAAAGATCAATTTTATATAAAGAAGACAGCAATATTCTAACAGGAAACCGATTTGTCGAGTATCGTTTTGGTAATCGATACTCGGTACTACCGAGCGATACTGGAATACTCGAGTACTCGTTGACATCCCTAGACTATTAAGCAAAAGGAAACAAGTCTATGTACCTTCTGTAATGAGGAAATGGAAACAATAGAACATTTATTTTATGATTGTAATGTTACCTACAATTCGATGTTCTCTTGTATATCTTTTAATTTAACACCTAGAGTAGGCAGTTTCACAGTTACTCTTAAGCCAAGTTTGATTTCTAGTTAAATATTTGTTTATAATTTGGAAAGAGGTTTTGTTGAGCATTAAACAGACCCAGCAATATAACTTCGTTTGTAATTTAGGCATCCATTACAGTGAATCAATATCCAGTTTCTTCATCTTTGGTTGAAATTCTAGGGAATTTAGAACAGACCTACAATTGTTTAGAATTTCCTATTTGGTAAGTGTCATGGACGTACATGTTAGGTTTCAAGTGAATTGTTAATACCCAATTCCTTTATTAGCAGTTAATTTAATGTGATTTACAGACAAAAACTATATTGTTGGGGGCTTTGTCGGCAGGGACGACAACATATTTTAATAGAGGTATGACATGTTCTGACCAACATCATTTGAATTTTTCAGAATAAATGTGTTCACAGACCCAATAATTGTTCAAATTCTGGATTGTATCAACGTCCTTACAGACCGTATCTATGTCTCCTTTTTCACGTTTGCCCTCACCTAGCATAACTGAAGCCATTGGTATTTTAAAGTTGTGTTTCCAGTTTATGGATTTAGACTCGTTGTATTTCAACCCTTTAATTAACACACTTCGCATGAAAGTGTTGTTGAAAATTTCCACGTTATAACGTGGCTAGCCGGAAAATAAATGAATGGAGAACTTACACAGGTGCAATCAAAATGTTAAGATTTGAAGTCAAGAAAGAAAGATGTTTAATATCTTTTTAAAAATACAATGCCTGTTATTAGACTGTATGAAATTATACTTCAAAAGTTAAGTACATTAAGCTAGCTGTATTTTGAATCAATTTTATTTTTGTTAACTTCCTATCTGTGCTTTTTAGCTCACCTGGCCCAAAAGGCCAAGTGAGCTTTTCTCATCACTTGGCGTCCGTCGTCCATCGTCCGTCGTCGTCGTTGTCCGTCGTCGTCGTCTGTTAACTTTTACAAAAATCTTCACCTCTGAAACTATTAGGCCAAATTTATCCAAACTTGGCCACAATCATCATTAGGGTATTTAGTTTAAAAAATGTGTCCGATGACCCCGCCTGCCAACCAAGGTGGCCGCATGGCTAAAAATAGGACATATGGGTAAAATGCAGTCTTTGGCTTATATCTCTGAAACTAAAGCATTTAGAGCAAATCTGACAGGGGTAAAAATGTTCAGCAGGTTTAGATCTATCTGCCCTGAAATTTTTAGACGAATCAGACAACCTGTTGGGTTGCTGCCTCTTAATATTGGTAATTTTAAGGAAATTTTGCAGTTTTTGTTTATTATCTTAAATATTATTATAGATAGAGATAAACTGTAAACATTAATAATGTTCAGCAAAGTACGATCTATAAATAAGTCAAATGACCAAAATTTTCAATTGACCCCTTAATGAGTTATTGCCCTTTATAGTCAAATTTTTAACAATTTTTTTCGTAAATTGTTTTAACCTTTTACAAAAATCTTCTCCATTGAATTTACTGGGACAAATAGAATTAAACTTAGCCACAATTTTCAATAGGGTATCTGGTTTGAAAAATGTATCCGAAGACCCTGTCATCCAACCAACATGGCCGCCATGGCTAAAAATAGAACATAGGGATTTACTATAGAAGTCTAAGGGAAAATTGTAAAAAAAACAATTTCAAATGTTCACAACTTGAAAACTACTTTAAAAAATGATAAGGGGTCTTCAGTAACTATTGTAAGTCTAGTTACTAGTGGGATGACCTGCTTTTAATTTAACTACTGGGCCAAATTAAACCAAACTTAGCCTCAATCATTATTAGGGTATCTAATACTATTTATTATGATTTAAATCTTATTTTACATGATATCCAAAACCACAGAAGATACAGGTGAGCGACACAGGCTATTGAGAGCCTCTAGTTTTCATTTTTGCCAATTATCTTGAAAAGTATAATAGATAGAGAGTAACATTAAATCGCAAAAATGATCAGCAAGACAAGATATACAAATAAGTCTGAATGATCGAAATCGTCAGTCGATTCCTTATAGAGTTATTGCCCTTTGATGACGATTTTTACAAATTTTTGCGCTTTTGCTTTATATCTTAATAATTATAGTAAATAGAAAGAAACTTAAATAAGCAAAAATGATCAGCAAGACAAGATCTACAATTAAAACAAATGGAGACAATCGTCTGACGACTCCTTTTTGGAGTTATTGCCCTTTAATGAGTATTTTACTAATTTTTTGCGTTTTGCCTTATATGATAAAAATTATAATAGATAACTAGACACTTTAAATCACAAAAATGACCAGGAAGGTAAGATTCACTAAGAAGTCAAATAAAGTAAGTAGACTTTCACTCTTTATAGGAGTGATTGTCCTTAAATGAGGATTTTTTATTACCGTTTTGTGTTTTGCGCAAAAACTAAAGAAGATAGAGAGAAACTAAACAGACTAATTGATCAGCAACACAAGATCAACAAAACAGATTTTTGTCATGAATTCTATTCACGTCTACAATGTTGGAAAGTGTCCTTCATTGAATATGCAAATAGACCAAGGTGAGCGACACAGGCTCTTTAGAGCCTCTAGTTTTTTACCAGCTACATCGATATTATTTTGTCATTTTTTTTCTACAGTTGTCTTTTTTTTCAGTTGGATGTGGTTTTAATGGTTTATTCATTAAATACTTTTTCTGAAGCGATTTTTAATGTTTTTCTACATATTTTGTCATTATATTGATCAATAAATGAGAGAAAAATAAGTTATTGATGTAGACATTGTTTTACCTCGCCACATATTATTTTGCTTATCCTCGCCATATATTACTTTTCCTCACTTCGCCACACTCTGACTCACCTCACAGTAACATTTTTTTTTCAGTGATTGTTATTTTCTAAAAATAGCCGCTGTAATCCATTCACCACAAATGTAGAATTTAATTGAAAACCGGTTGTTTACCTTTTGATATCTTTCTGTTTACTTATGTTGTCGTCTCATTGACATTTGCACGAAGTTTTTTGTTGTTCATAACCAATTCTATCAAATTAAAGAGTAATTGAAGTATAAACGTAAACTGAACAAAGGTATCCTTCATCACTTCACCATTATCACTAAAAATACCTTTATTAATCTTAAAAAGTTGTATAATAAGCGATCTACGTTGCATTTCATACTTATAACTTATAACTCTGAGCTTTTAGAATACATTTTGTATTATACATCTTTTGCAGACTTTGATATTACAAAGGTCAACAACGTAACGGTAATAAAGACAAGCAAGAAATGTACGATAAGAGGTGATATTGCAAACTTTGAATATATTATTTTAACTAGTTATACCACAGAAACATTTGGAGCATATACTACTTTTATTGTAACGTATAATACAATTCACCAGCCTATACAAGAGGTTTATAGAGGAGATATGAACTGCATGTTTCAATCTGGTGGTGGCATTAGCTATTACCTTGGAGTATAACTTTTAAAGACGAGAAACGTAAAGCAAAGTGAAGGAAACATGATTAAGAGTGAGCCGTTGTATCAACTATAAATTAGGAGTATTAAAATATTTACGAAGAAGAAATTATGCGAATAAAAAGATATGTTATGCTACTGTTTTGAATAAATTACTGGAGAATTTTTTAAGGGAGACCGTTCAAAATATAGGAAAGGGGTTCACCTTGCCCAAGACAAGATGAAAGTTAATATTCTGTCCAATTAAATGCAGGAAGTTATTGTTGACAAAAGTGAGGGGGGAAAAATTCCCACAGCTTTGCAGCGCAAAATAAATAAGCCGGCAAAGTAAAAAGTTAAAAAAAAGTTCTTCCGCCAAAAAATCCCCAGGTCCGTTTATAAGTTACTTTGAACAATTTTTAAACTACATTTGGTAAATGTAATGATTTTAAGGTATACATTCATTTGACAGGTTTCATCTGATCTAGACGTCATTTCATAGATAATGGATAATGTGAGGCGTATTTGTTATCTGTAGTTAAACCTTACCTAAGCATGTCAACCATTTCAATGTGTGCACTGTTATCTGAACATATATATATATATATATAACATTCAAAATACATGTATAATTGCAGTATATTTTACAAAAGATAAGCAACAACTGCTGTTGGAATAGTTATAAAAAATGAAACCCCCGCTCCCATATTAAAAGGCAAAACATAGAATAAATAACGAGATAGATATTCGCAATGGCACTATAAGTATTATCAGGTCACTGAGAAATTTTCAATAAATCTTATTAAGGGGTTAAGGAAGAGCTAAGGATACAAACAATAAAGCAATTGCGAAGTCCATGAATTGCTCAGTGAACCTTTTCGAATCATTTATCGAATTAAGAAGTGCATAATAGCATCAATTGTGCCAAAGTAAACCACAAAACCCCAAAAACCTTTGGTATAAAGAAATGAAATTGGCAGTCCAAAAGAATATAATGTGAGTAAACTTCTACAAAAGTTTCACAAAATGATCTCAAGCAGTTTTTTGCTGATATAAAAGCGGGATGGAAGGACGAACGAACGAATGCACATTCACCTTATACCTCCAACTTCACATGTGCAGAACATCCATTTATAAATATATGATTGGTCATCGTAGTAACTGATTGTTAAGCAGACCCCCTCTTTCTGTCGACATTTGTGATCTTAGTCATGATGACACTAATGCAGATTTATTCCGACTAAGTATCACTTCATTGACTCCAACGCGGCTTACAAAAAGCAAAAAGAATCACTTTATCAGCTTTAGCGAACTGCCTTTAATACTATGCACGCAATTCTTATCGCTTAACAAGAGCAGTATGCATGGTATACTTTTTCCCCTTTATAAGCAGACTTGTTCTGCTATTGTGACACAGCTAATTTTGCATGTCTACTTTTTTAGTACTATAATTTCCAAGTACTGAAAATATACCTAAATGTTGTAGATGTACTAGTCCCAAATTATTGTTCTATTTGAGTATCAAAATTATACCGCAGTTTTGTACCTCCGTTGTGTAATACTATGAAGGTACATTTAATATATGTACTTATTTTTTTTCTATAATTCGACAAAAAGTATTGGACTGCTATTCCCTATTGTTAATTTTCCCTTTTTGGACGGTGATGTTCCTTTTGACCCCATCTTATGTGTGTCACAACTTGTTTGCTATGCCCGTGTCTGTAACGACGTTTTAGATTTTAATTAATATAATTTATTCATCACAGGTAAATAATCAAGTCAAGGATTTCATTACCACAAATTAATTCATCCTTTTACAAAATTCTTTTATAGATACAAAGATTTTGTTTGAACGTTTGGTTGTACCTGTAGAATTCTTATTAAAAGCAGGATTACGTGTCCTATTTTTAACGGTGACGTTCCATGTAAACTCATTGACTCTTTGAATAAACTTATTCTTAGAAGTTATCAATTTCACACCGTAGTTAAATCTTCCAATATTGTGCTATCGGTACTTACATCGATCTTATTTTTAAAAATTCAAATATAACTAAATATATATGGACAGTTATGAGTTATCATGATCCTACATCCTATCGTTACTACAAAAATGAGGAGATGTGGTATGATTGCCAATGAGACAACTTTCCACTAAGGTTCAAATGGAATGGACGTAAGCAATTATAGGCAGCCGTACGGCCTTCGACAAGGAGCATAACCCATATCGTATAGTCGGCTACAAAAGGCCCCGACATTAAAAAATGTGAAAATAATTCAATTCAAAAAACTAGCGGCCTAATTTACAACAAAACAATTTACAAAAAAATCAAGTATGACAGGTATAAACAAACAACCACTGAACAACAGACTCCTGACTTGGGAACGGCACATAAATAATGAAGCGGGGTTAAACATGTTTTTGAGAGCTCAACACTTCCCCTAACCTGGGACAGTGGTGTTACAGCACAACATAAGAAAAACTGTAGAGACCAGTTTCAATGGGCTTAACTTAAAGGATCGGTACGAGAAACAAAAACAACTAACATAAAACAATATACACAAAGCACCGAAATGAGAGTACTGATTGATACTTTAGTCTGGAAGAACATAATTTATTTATAGTTGTTGTTGGCTTTAGACTAGCTTTCAGTAACTGCGAATACTTTTAGACCAGTGATTTGTGTCTATTGTTTTTATGTTAGTTGCTTTTATGGTGACGATACTGTTGTCAGGTCTTTAAAGGGGACATCATTTTTGGGAAATAATATTGATTCATTCATAGGGTCTTTGCGTCGGAAATAAACACATTTATTCTAAAACCAGTTATTGGCATGATACGGGTTATGTTCTTCTCGTATAATTTGTGATAGCATGATACTAAATACCTAACGACAGGGATTGTTATTGATTTCATATGATGAAGACATAATCTTTCAACCAGTTTAATTTAAGTCTGGAGCTGGCATCTCAGTAACTGCTAGTAATCCTTTGATAATTTATGTTGATCATTGTCATTTTGCTTGGTTTCTTCTGTTACCTTTTCGAACATCGGACTCGGACTTCTTTTAAACTGAATTTAAAAAATGTGTAATCCACCATTTTCTACACCTGTACCGAGTCAGGAATGAATATGACAATTGTTTTCCATTCGTTTGATGTGTTTTTAGATTTTGATTTTGCCATTTGATAAGGGACTTTCTGTTTTGAATTTTCCTTGGAGTTCCGTATTTTTGTTATTTTACTTTTTACTGTACGTTTTGCTGTGTGTTTGTTTGTTCCACATTGGCTATAGTTAAAGGGGAGGGTTGAGATCTCACAAAACTTAATTAACCCCGTCGCATTTTTGCGCCTGTCCTAAATCAGAAACCTTAACCTTTGTTAATAGTGTGTGGTTTATTTGTATGTTTCGGAGTAAAGTGTGACCACAGTTTCGCTGAACTAATATACATTATTGTTTGGTACCAGCTAAAACCCTTCTTCGGAAGCAGGCTTTTCCCTTTGCGTTGAAACCCCATTGGTAGCCTTTGGCTGTTTTCTGCTCTTTGGTGGGGTTGCTGTCTCTATGACACATTCCACGTTTCTATTCTCTATTCTATTTCCATAGATATACGGTTAACTTTATTTCTTGACAGTTTGTTGCCATTAAACTGTTGTAATTTGATATGCCAGCTTATTTTTTCTTCGTGCTTTTAAGTGATGCTAAGGAGAAACTTTTTATAGCTTTCTATACGGTATTTGTTTTGCACATTTTTAAGGAACGTACGGTGACCTATAGTTAGCATATTTTACGTCATTTGGTCTTTGGTAGATTGTCGTCTCATTTGCAATTATACGACATCCTCTTAGTTGTTTATACACGAACTGCAGCGAATACTCTGCAAGTTGAAGCATAACCACAATAACTATAATAAACAGCACTGTCATAGATTTAAATGTTAGTCTTGAAGAAATATCTACCGTTTATGACAACATTTTCAATGGGACCGTGGTGTCTGTTAAGTTAAAAATGATAGTACCGCATCTCATTTACTTTTGTATATGGAATATATTTTAACAATGGGACTGTATTACAAGATGTATAGTATCAATAAGATGCATAATATACATGTTAAATGATTTGTAAAGTGAAATGTCATTAAACCGACGACAGAAATTATGGTAAAATGTATAAGCAATATCATATATACTATGCAAATACATGTGCTTGCACACAGATAACGCCATTCAAAAAAAATATAAAAGAGAAAGATACTAAAGGAACATTCAAACTCATAAGTTGAACGTAAACTGAAAAAAAGGTCAAACGACAAGCAACAGTTCTCAAAACACAACATAGACAACTAAATTAGCAACACGAACCCTACCAAAAACCGGGGGTGATCTCAGGTGCTCCGGAGGATAAGCATATCCTGCTCCACGTGTGGCTATATTCGTGTTGCTCATGTTAATACAAATCCGGTAATTCGGTAGGTCATATTTGGGGAAAAATTGTTACGACAATTGGAACATATCCGTCGTTATCTGTGACACAGATATTCAATAACGGTCAAATGTTCGCTATTTCAACGTCCGTATAATGGCTTACCATGCCTCCCCCTTTGTGTTAAGTAGTGTTGAATTCTATGTTAATTTTTTTCTTTTTCATTGCTCTTCTTATCATTTATATTTTTTCTTCTTTTCAAGTTATTCTATTGATAAATATTTCTGTTTCTATTTTAGTACAAACATATTCTGTCTGAAAAACACGAGGAAGTGATGATTCACTCAAATAAATATTCATCCACGTTTTCCTAATAAATGTATTCTTAAGTGGAGACGCATATGACCACACGAGACGCATTAATACGTCTAGTGTATTCTTGAAATGTATTTATTTAAATAAAAAACATCAATGTCAAGTCTAATTTGTACCAGCAGTATCAAATACCTTCATAAAATATGACGTCACACATTCACATAGCACTCCTGTTCCCATGACGTTTCTAGATTGATTGGTCGAACAATGTTAATGACAATGGTTGATAGGACTTAAGCGACTATTTACATTTTTATAGTTTTCTTGTTTCACACCATCAGGATTGAAAGACAGACAA